TCTTAACTTTGCAAACTCAAGTACAAACCCTTGGCTCAATCATATTTCATGATTTTTTTGTACTTTTTTAATATGTACATATGTACAAGCGCTATGTCCATTCCATGGCAGAAAAAGCGAAAGTTTTAACGGTTGAAAAATTTTAAACATTTTTTGAACCAATCATTTTTAAAAACACATACACACACACATACAGTTTTATAACCATACACAAAATAGAAGTCAGGAAAATGAGAATAAATAGTCTATATAAAAGTAAATATAAGAAGCACCTTTCCACTTTATTCATCCGTTTGCAACTTTTTCGAATTCAACAACTACAATTTCACTTTTCAACTGCATACACAGTTCATAAGTAGATATTTTTTTTTGCAAGTATTCCCCCTAAAGTTCAAAAATATTTGAAAATAAGTAAAACAAAAATTAAAAATCAAAAACGAAACTTCGTAGCTTAGCTTAATTACTTTCATATCTACTACCGTATTGAAAAAATATACTTAAATACAATTACAGTTGAGAAAATTTTTCGCTTTAGCTGCAGGCAAAACAAAGAGTGCAAAATACTCACTTGCGTTTCAATGGTTTCGAACTTCTGTGTATAACTACATTAGGGTGGTCCAAAAATGCATGTAGTCGGAATTTAGGATTCTTCTATAGCGAATATTTAGAGATTTTATATGGAAAAAACAACCTTTCGCAGATGTGGTATAGAATTCTTAAAACTCAATATTTTTCGATCGGAAAATTCTGTTTCTCTGCAGTAGATTCCTTATAATAACATCCAATTGTTGATTTAACCATTTTTCTATAGTAACTTTCTATCTTCTATCTTTTAAAGGTCCGCCAAAAACCCCGCAAAATGCAATAGGGGGACCAATAAAAAATCGTTAGTATTAAAAAATGGTTATATAAACAATTGGGTAATACGATAGAAAATCTGCTGAAGAAAACATGACTTTTCCGATAGAAAAATATTGATTTTCCAGATTCTATACCATTTCTACGAAAACTTTTTTCCCCCATATAAAATACATGGCAAATTTTGAGCGCTTTGTGTGACCTCTAAATTGTTTTATGATTTCAAAATAAAAAATAGAGCTATACCTTTTTTTTTGATATAGAACAATCCTAGGGGGGGAGAGCATTAAAATTCCGACTTTACTCTTTTTGGGCCACCCTAACCTACATACATAAATATACTTTTTAATTAAAAATCGAAATAGCTGGCTTTGCAGCCGCTTATATATTTGTCTGTAGGTAGATATGTATGTACGTATGTACATACATTTGTACAAGCGCTCTTAAGTGTAAAAGTATTTGCAATTTTTAATTTGGGAGCAAAGGCTCATGCAGTTGTAGAGAAAGTAAAATTCGCATGGTTTTAAGTTACGGCTGCGGAATGGAAACGTTTTTGTAATATACTAAAGGTCAAATATACATATGTGTGTGTGTAATATACACTGTCCCCCCAATTCTGTGCACTTGACAAATAATCAAGCTTGACTATTTGTCAATAAATTTGCGCCTAAACTATGCTGCAAAAATTTACTTTTAGGCGCTTTAAACATGCACAACAAATTTAGCAAATACAGCCAAATCTTATCGGCATAGTTTTAGGCGCAAATTTATTGACAAATAGTCAAGGTTGATTATTTGTCAAGTGCACAGAATTGGGGGGTGTATATATATATACATATGTGCATATTTATGTATGCAGTTATGGAAGTTACTGCATTTATTTGTTAGGACAAAGACAATTCTCCTGCCGACTATAATGAATGGAAATTTAACTGTGGTGAAATTTTGCTATGGTTAAGTATTATTATTTAAGAGAAATTTTCAGATATGTACAAGATGAACCTTGGTACAAAATTAGCCTTTTTTATTAAAGAAAAATTGAGTTTAACTTAATTGCTAAAATTGGATTATCATATATTTTCCCATACATACCTGAAGGGTTTTTAGAGATCTTCAATTTTTCACTGATTTTTTTTTTGTTTTTTGATCTTAAAAAAACTTTGAACTTTTTTTGATTTGCTCTTTTCTGAGAAAAAAATTTTTGGTCATGACTTCATACCAACGTAAGCATTTTCACTGAATGAAAACCAAGTTAAATAAAATCGGTTTATCTGGTTCTTTCTTAATGAAAAACTCAAGAGCCGTTTTTTTTTTTGTTTGAAATTGCAATTTTTGGACTAACTCGAAACCGGGTTTCGGAAAAAAGGCGAATAATCGAACACCCTAATATATACGTATATAGATTTATATGCATATGCTAGAAAATTGGTTTCTTCGTGAATTATCAAATTATTAGATTGCAGCAATGGGATTATAGAAATCGCCACAAGGCTTTTTTTGCCTAAAAATATACAAGGCCAACATAACAGCCGTTTTCACATGGCATATTTTTAGGCCCATAATTATTAATAAAGAGATTTTTAGCGATAGAAATTCAGCATAGCGATTTGTAGAATCCCGCTGCCGAATTCAAATTTTAACTCTTTAAATGAAAATCCATTGCGCCTTAAAATATGCAACGTTTCTGCAGGAGCATTTAGTACCACTTCCTGCAACCATTTCAATATGGCACCTCTTAAGCGTGCACATTGCATATTTTTAGCCACCGAAATTTCGTACGATTTCTAAAATCCGATTTGAGTTTAAAAAATTTTCCAATTCACACAAAAATACCTTGCACCGCTTTCACAGAAATAATTCATATATCTTCGTTTTTATTTTTACTTAATACTAATCGCTAGTACTTCAGTTTTCCCCTTACAGTGAAACTCAATTATAAATAATGGCTATAATGGTATTAATAAATGNATTAAGAGAAATTTTCAGATATGTACAAGATGAACCTTAATACAAAATTAGCCTTTTTTTATTAAAGAAAAATTGAGTTTTACTTAACTGCTGAAATTGGGTTACCATATATTTTCCCATACATACCTTAAGGGTCTATAAAGATCTTCAATTTTTCACTGATATTTTTTTTTGTTTTTTGATCTTAAAAAAAACTTTGAATTTTTTTTGATTTGCTCTTTTCTAAAAAAAATTGTTGGTCATGACTTCATACCTACGTAAGCATTTTCACTGAATGCAAACCATGTTAAATAAAACCGGTTTATGCGGTTCTTTCTTAATGTAAAAATCGAGAACCGGTTTTTTTATAATTGCAATTTTTGGACTAACTCGAAACCCAGTTTTGAAAAAATGCGAATAATCGAACACCCTAATATATACGTATAGAGATTTATATGCATACACTAGAAAATAAATTTCTAAATTAAATAAATTATCAAATTTTTAGATTGCAGCAATGGGATTATAGAAATTGCCACAAGGCTTTTTTTGCCTAAAAATATACAAGGCCAACATAACAACCGTTTTCACATTGCATATTTTTAGGCCCATAATTATTAATTAAGAGAATTTGGGCGATAGAATATTAGCTTAGCGATTTGTAGAATCCCGCTGCTGAATTCAAATTTTAACTCTCTAAATGAAAATCCATTACGCCTTAAAATATGCAACGTTTCTGCAGGAACATTTAGTACCACTTCCTGCAACCATTTCAATATGGCACCGCTTAAGCGTGCACATTGCATATTTTTAGCCACCCGTTTAGAGATTTAGAACCGAAATTTCGCACGATTTCTAGAATCCGATTTGAGTTTAAAAAATGTTCCAATTCACACAAAAATACCTTGCACCACTTTCACAGAAATAATTCATATGCCTTAGTTTTTTTTTTACTTAATACTAATCGCTAGTACTTCAGTTTTCCCGTTACAGTGAAACTCAATTATAAATAATGGCTATAATGGTATTAATAAATGTACAAATATATTTGCGCGCACTCATGCATACATAAATAACTTTCATTTACATGCTTAAGTTAAGTTCTAACAAATGGCAAATTTTCCAAGTGCCAAATGAGCAAATCCATTTAAGACGCAACTACAACCGACAAAACGCATTCAAGATATTTTCAGGATGAAATCTTCATATTCATAAAGGCAATTCAGCGACGTGCGATAAATGCCCCGACCTGTAATACATACACATACATACATAAATATGTAACTAACCGGCTGGGTACATACATACACATATATGGGCTTATGTCTGTAAGCAATAGTAGCACAAGTTATGTCGCACACAGCCTGGCTGTCGACAGCAATCATATCCAATAAGAACTACACCACCGTCANATTCATATTCATAAAGGCAATTCAGCGACGTGCGATAAATGCCCCGACCTGTAATACATACATGCGTAAAGATACACATACATACATAAATATGTAACTAACCGGCTAGGTACATATATACGCACCACATACTTACATATGTCCTTATGTCTGTAAGCAATAGTAGCACAAGTTATGTCGCACAAAGCCTGGCTGTCGACAGCAATCATATCCAATAAGAACTACACCACCGTCACACCAAAACCAAAGCACACCAACCAATGTCAAGAGCGCTTCTTCAACAAAAGTACTCGTATCACAGCCACCAACGACGACAACGCCAGCAACTACTACATACATACATAAGAGAGCAACCAACAACGGTGCAGCAGCTAGCAGGCAGCCAGCCAGCAGTGAATAGCGAAACGATCAACTGGCAGACTTAAATAATGCAAGTAACCGTTTTTCAACGCAACATTCAACGCAGATTTAAGTGAGCCATCAGAACGCACCACAGCCACTTAAGGAGTATATAAGTATAAGGAAAAATACAAACAGCCGCCACCCTACCACCCAATCACCCAACCACCCAACCCAACCCAAGCCCACCCATCAAGTGGGCGCGCGGAAAGTTCAACAAATTGTTCCATGCTGTATGTAGTAAACACTTCAAGCTATCAGTAAAAAAATAGAAAAAAAAATGTTCGACACTAAATGGTTGCCTGCCGCCTGTGGCAGTTTGNCACGCCACCCTACCACCCAACCACCCAACCACCCAAGCCCACCCATCAAGTGGGCGCGCGAAAAGTTCAACAAATTGTTCCATGCTGTATGTAGTAAACACTTCAAGCTATCAGTAAAAAAATAGAAAAAAAAAAAATGTTCGACACTAAATGGTTGCCTGCCGCCTGTGGCAGTTTGGCGCCCGCCCTCATACCGCCCGCACACATGTTGGTGTTGGCCTACTTTTGGCAAAATTATTCACGTTACGTTGATAAACACTTTTGTACTTGCTCCTGCTGGGACACCATATTCAAGGGACCATATGAATCGGGTATCGCCTCCTATAAGCATCTCTACTTCAATGTCACACAAAACTCGTTCAAAATGTGGCTGATGACTGTATTCGCTGTTATTGCACTTTATGAATGCATTAAACAGTTGATTGCGTTGATATTGCAACAACGTTGCCGCTACTCGATGTTGTTGCTATTCTCGTTGTCGATATTTTCACATTACTATGCGTGGTGGGCGTACATGAATTACTACAACGACGACTACTATCAACAATGGAATCATCAACTATTCTTTACGGTAAGTATGTATTTATGTACCTACTTAATATTGTCAAATATAAATATGTAGTTATGCACATAAATTTATGTTTATTCATGAATGAGTTTTGTTGTTGCAATCAGTTGTAATAAAGCCTGCAGCAGGCGGAGTAGAGTACAAGGAATTTAGATCGGTTAGGTGTTGAGTAGAATACTGTTGCACTCGTAGTTGTACTGGAACATTTCAAAATCTCAACAAGATTTTACTGGAAGAATTTTTTTCTAGTGTCTCGCGACTTTTACGTGCTATGACTGGGAACAGGCCAAAATAATGCAACTCTATTTTTTCCACTTTTTTCGAGATTACAGCTGCAATAGCGAGAGTTGTACGAGAGGCCCATTGCGGCTGCATGCTCACCGGCGGGAGATGTTAACGTAAACTTGCAATCTCTGACTACTTTTGAATTCATTATTGGGGTTACCAGTGTCAGAAAAGCTGGTTGGCTATATGGGCAAATGTACTTTGTGTAGGTACTCTCTCACAGCTTCTTGTCATTTCACTACAAGCCCTACAAGCATAGAACATGCTAGAAAAAATGGGAGGTACAGAGAGAGGCTTCCAGCATCTCAGCAACTGCCCCCGCACTGAAACCCAAGTCCATTTTGGACCCATCAAAATTCTCATCGATTACCTTGTCTCTTCTTAAATGCCATCAGAAAACTTCACCTGCAAGTTTCTCTTAAAATCTAGTGTTGTTCGACTTCTGTAATTTGCCAAGAATACAACTATGCCTAGGTTGATTCGACATTCATTAAGCCGACTCTTTGAGCCTGAGTGGGTTCAGGAAACTGAAGTTTTTATATTTGCCTATACATATCTGGGCAATACTAATACTAATACTAACTTGTTAATTTAAGCGCAATTAAATGCAATAGAAATATAAACTACTAATGGAAGTATCTATGTGAAAAGTTTTTAGAAAATTTACTTCGAATATTAGCCAAGCCAAATTCTTACGTTAGTATCCATATACGGGAATTAATCTCCCCGATAATCTCCTTTCAACGCATCACAATTTGCATTCGTCAGTCATTGTGCACATCCTATAGTTTCATTCCAAATTTGTAAAAGCACTAAGCTGCGATTAATTTTCTTTCCTATTCACTGCAAATGTTGTTTGACACGCTCCGGATCCGGTTACCCAGCAGACGGTTTGCCCGCATAAAATGCAAATATGTAACTGGGCACCAGATTGCTTTAAAGATCTAATTGCTTTGCAAATGTACACTTAGCCCCATCAAACCGGCTGCTGGGTAACCGAAAACCGGAGCGTGTGAAATGACAATAAGGTTTTTTCTTCGGTATCCCAGAAAAAAATTTACTGTTTGAAAAGATTTCAAAAACATTACTTTTATAAAAAGGGTCAAAAATACGTATTCAGGGGTGAGTTAACAAATTAATATATGATTTCTTTTAACGTCTATTTGCATATAAAACACTCACATAAAAAACCCTTCATATGAATCACATCGCATATTTGGCCCTAACCGGCAAAAACCCTTAACCAACTTTTTTCAAAATTTTCTTTTTGATGCAGAATATTCCTAGAGCCACTACATTCAATTCTGCTTCAAAAATAAAATTTTGAAAAAATTTCGCTTACGTCGTTTTGACGGTCAGGGCTCGATATACTTAAAAAAGTATAAACAATTTTTTTCCTCTAATTTCACTGGTTAACAGCAAAAATTTTCAACGCATGCCACCATCCAATTTCTATATGGAATTGCTCGCTCTTTCCGAAAATCGAGTAAATTTTTTATTCCATGGATAGGTTTTCGAGATATTTTCAATTTAACGTCATTCAGCTTAAAACAAAAAGTGGTTCCATTTAACCACGTAGGTATATCTTACGAACCAATTTTACAATCTAACCAAGCAAACAAAATTCTCCATAAACCGTATACTTACGGTGACCATAAATTTGAATTGAAAATGCAGGACAATTAAAAAAAATATATACATACATACATATGTAAGTTAACGTAGTATAAAATAACAAGAAAATATAAACTGGTTATTAAAAGTGAGTGCATTGTGATTTTTGTTAAATATTTGCAATGTTTTTCAAGTCAAAATTTTTTTGTTATTTTTTTTTTGGAAATATGGTTTATTCTTTACCCAAAACCACATAAGTCAAACTTTATACAGAACTTAGAAAAATTCAACAAATTTTCATCTAAATTTTTTACTATTTAGCATGACATTGTGATGCTGGTGTCCATTTTCATTGACTTGGTGAGGCTTCAAAATGTCTTGTCCTAATGTAGTTATGTTGATAAAAAATAAGGGCTCCCGTCTTTTATATTAAAATATCGAATAAAATGCGCAACAAAGGCAGGACACTTGGAAAAAATCAGTACAGGCATTTGAATAACAGTACGGTCCTGCAAAAAACAGGACGGATGGTCACCGTACGTATACTATATATGTATGTACCAGAGAACAGCTTTGAGTATGATCGAGCCTTTTTGATCACACTCACTAAAAATCAAGCACAAGCGAACGCCACACTCGGCTACGATGTGTTCGATCGAGATGCATACCCGACAGCTGCTTTGGTTACGAACGAGTCTGTTCGATCACCCTCGCTATAAATTGAGCACAAGCGAACACCACACTCGGACACCCGCAGCTAACCCGAAAATTTGTGTAACAATGAAACGGGCACCCGAACATTGCGATAAAATGCAGGACAACAAAGAAATTTACGCTGAAGGTAACTGGCGCCAATATGTTCCCACAAAGCATACGAAAATGTTGTTGCTTTGTGCTTGTGCATACGCAATGAAAAAATTAGAAGCGAAGTAGACAAAAATGTTTTTGCATCTATTTCGTATAGTTTCGCGTGGAAAGCTGTGTGTGTATATATTAGAACACAGCCTAAAACTATGTAGGTACATAAGTACTTTTACAAAAAATAAATGTGCACCGAGTGTATAGGGCTTGGGCATTGCCGATCTACACACATTTATACCTAAATGGATGTAGGCGTCGTGATGCCGCATTTTGTATGAGCAAAAATATAAGAAATGGTTAAATGTACACTTAAACAAACTACCGAAAAATTCAACCTTCTCTTTACCCTCTACGCACAAAAACTAAGAACACCGCGATGAGAAGGCAACATTTTTTGTAGAAACAAAAACGTCATAAGCCAATCAAGAAAATTTTGTGCACACTCGGGTTGAAACTCGAACACCCGGGTATATTGAGCTGCAAAGCACCCGAACCCAATCAAGTATGTATGAAAAGCAATCGGGTGTTGTGGCCAACATGTTCGTCTTGAGCTCAGTCGATAACGAACAATACTTCTGCTCGTATACAGAGAACGATGCCAAACGGGTTTTGTTAGATGATCGAGTATACACGAAAATCATGCACCCGCTGCAGATGTCTGATATGTACATCACTTTTCGAATGTTACTCATACGCCATATACACCTAAGTAACACACTTTTCTGCTTATATTTCATACAAAAAATCTTTGCGCATTTTCATTTGACACCTTATTACTTCTTTATTTATCCATCGATTTTCTTCATAAGTAACTTGATTTTTTTTTAGTAACAGAACAGGCTTTAACACAAATGCAAAAAATTTACACAGAATCTTATATTTTAAAATTTTTCTTCTGATAATTTTTCATTTTTTATTTTTTTAACGGTACATTGAAAATATCTCGAAAACTGATCCATAGAATAAAAAATTAATTCGATTTTCGGAACCAGCGGACGATTCTACATCGAAAATGGATAGCGGCATCCGTGGAACAGAAAAAAACACAAATTTGTTATCCAGTGTTTTTAGTTGCATTAACCCTTTCATTACCATAAGTTTATAAGGGACGCTTCTTTATTATAAATATCTACGCATCGCAACATCAACAATGTAAATTTTACGGTATGATGTCCTACGAGATGTCAATTGCCCGGCTATGCATCAGCATCTACTAGTAGAAATACTAGTACGCATCATACCAGTTGATGAGATAGTCTGCCAATTTATTCCCCGTGAAAAACATACATAAGTAGGCGCTCTAACAGTCGCAATGTCCGGCAGAGCAAAGCACTGGCGTGGTATTCCATAGGTCCAAGGTTCGAGTCCAGGCGTAGGAAACGTTTTTTTTATTATTATTATTTTTTTATTTATTGTAATTTTATATATATCTACATATTTTTAATTAAATTTAAAAATCTCAATAAAAACCTAAATACATAATATAAATATATTAGGAAACAAAATAAAAAAAATTTTCCCACCGGCTGACTTGAACTTGTTTTATGGCGCAAGTATTTCTTTCCACATGTGTTTTTTTTTTTTTGTAATAAAACACATGCAAACTGGCATATAAGTATTTTAATATAGCCACATAATTAGCTATAAAAGTAGTTCAATATGTCTACACGCATATATGTATGTACTTCTACATTAGGCTGGTCCAAGATATATTTTTCCAGCCACCCACCCCCCATAATAATTCTATACTAGAAGATTTCTGAAACCAAATATTTTTATTCGATTAAAAAATATTTATTTTTAAAAATGTTATAACTGTTGTCGAAAAAAATTTTTTTACTCCATACAAAATAAATGGAAAACTTCCCACACTAGAAGTCCAGGGTGTGTTCGCGCTACATAATAATTACGGCAATATTGCAGCCTTGTTGCTAAAATGCTGCAGAAATTGCGCAGTAAAACGTTGTATGTTGCTTTTGATTTGCCAATAGTGAGCAATTGTTTGTCCAAAATTTTGTTTCTCGAACGCTTGATGTAGGCAGAATCGCTCAAATTTTCCCGTAGAATGTGATGCTCTTTCAGTAACACTGCCACATTACATAATTGCAGCTCGAATCACCCCCGTTTTTTTTATATAATTCTAGGGAATTTCAAAAAGTCGAGTTTTCCTGTATATTTTTGGACCACCCTACTCTACTGTGCATACATACATACATGTTTACGAAAACTAATTACATATACATATTTTCTACACAAACGATTTTTCAAACACTGATAATGTGTAGGAGGTACTTATACTAGGCATAAATACGCCAGTGGCCAATATACTACTACGCTTATTACTCAGATAAATCAGTGCATTATTGAGAGCTTAATTATACGCTTACCTGCTTTTGCATGGCGCTTTTTACGAGTTTTTGTTAGCTACATAATTAAATCTCATAAAGTGTGTAACATGAAATAATTTTCATACATAATTATGTGACGATGAAATACTAAATGATCATATGTACCGTTATTAGTAGAATTCACAAACTGTCAAAATAGGGTGGTCATTACTTTATAGGTAAAAAAAAAAAAATAAGTGCATATTTTAATTACTCGTAGCTTGCGAAAACTTTCTATTAATCTGTCGTCTACATACATACATACATGCATTGCTTAGAGTACGCCAATTACGAAACAAGTATTTGAAAATAATTTTGTAATTTCCCAATATTGTACTGCGCAAAAGTGTTATTTCTTGGCAACCTTAGCTTTAGTAACCTTACAAAGGTGAGTCGTGCCTTTTGCTACCGTTCTACAACAGCAACGCTTCACTTGTTGTAAAATGGAATTTAATGCCACAGTTTATTTTATACGTATATGAACAACACGAAATATTTCGCATTTAAAGTTTTAAAGCCACATTAGTTTGAAAGTTTACTGAATAGCTAATAACTCAGAATAAGCAACCACTTGTCTTCTAACTAAAAGTAACAAAGCTAAAGCTTTTTTGGAGCCAAGATTTGGCGCAAGTTAAGCAAAGTTTTTCAGCAACTACGAGATATATAAATCACTTAGTAGACTACGGCGCACAGTGGGGCAAACGTTTAATTTACTATTCAAAAAGGTCTACAACCTACAATTATTGACGGATTTCCTTTTTTTTTATTGAAGGACACCTAATTAAATTCTTAAGAGGATTAAGGAGCTACTTTTTAAAATGTATTTTGTTTTTATATTTTTTTTTTAAACAAAGTTGAAAAAAACACACTTTGCAGCGAACAAAAACAAAATTAATGCTTGACTCCAAGGCGAAAATTTGTAATTGTTTTATATTTTTTGTGAACACAATTATTTTTAAGAAATATGTAATTAATCGAAAATTTTCCCATTTTTATACAAAAAAAAAAAATCTCTTGTTTTTAATCTTTGCAAATATCTCTTAGTCGTACAAGCAAAGTCCATTGCCTTTTATTCGATATTACAACTTTTTCTTTAATCGGTTACCAATTATCCAGTTATAAGAAATTTGTATGATGAACATTTATTTCTTTAATCAAAACCGTTAACCATAAAAACAAGATAAATTTAAAAAAGTAGCTCCTCAAACCTCTTAAGAATTGAATTATCTTTCAATTAAAAAAACAAAATTGAAAGTTCGGTTATTACCTGAATTCTTTTTTTTTTAATTTCAGTTAAGCTACTCAAGGCCTCAATTGAATTCTCATTTTCGTTGTAGACTATATACCCTTTTGATTAGTAAATTTCCCGTTTGCAACACTGTGCGACTGTTACTTGCGAAAGGAATTCATATTTGGTATAAAAAGTTGCCGTCGAAGTTAACAAACTAATATTTTCAGATTTGAAGAAAATGTCCGCTTGATTTCTGATGACAGCTTCTTCTCTTTGTATTTAGCGCCTCAATAGAGCGTTTAGCTAAATTGTATACCTGTTGTGAGTAAATATGTCGGTACTTATCCACAGTATATCGGAAATTTTCCTGACTTTTAGAAACACTGTTTACATCTCTGCTGAATATACTCGTACATATCTATGTAAGTGTTGTTGTATGTATTTTCGCTGTTTCGGAGTTTATGAGGACTGAAGTTAAGTTTCTCTTATTATTTGATATAAAATTTTCACTTCTCCCATGCCATACGAAAGAGGAGTAAAGAATCGAGCATGCTAAGATTTATCGCTTCAAAACTTCAACTAGAAGCGCTCCTTGAAAACCTAGTTCTTTTTACGTCATCCCTTGTCAGATTTGGTTTGGAGACAAGCGGTTTGGGTGGGGGATATGATGGAAATTTGTTCGAAAATAAATCATACTACCACCCTATCGGAAATATTATCAAAATCTGCGAAAAATTTAATGAATCTACGGTAACAGGGCATTTAACTTATAAACCATCGCACCTACTTTCCACGAAATCTCTAAATCCAAGTAAATCCAAGTAAACAAAGACATGGGGCTTTAATTGTGAACCTATAACGGAAGCTGTGAACCATTGCACGTCGCTGGAGCATTATGCAAACCATAAGGCGCAGGCTTAAATTGGAACAAACCTCTACCTGATACCGTGAAAGCTCTGAAGTACACCGACAGCTCCTCCCGATCGGGAATCTGCCAATAAGCTGACTTAGTTTCCAGACTGAACAAGAACCTAGGGATGCCAGGTTTAAGGTATCTGAAACTTATGGGAAGGATGGACTATCCTTATCTGTGCACTTATTCGAAACCCTATAGCCTACACAGAACCTATACGATCCATCCTTCTTCCTAATCACGATCAACGGGGACGTCTAAGGACTATGCAACTACTCAATCACACCCATGTCGAGCATATCTTTCAATTTGTCGTCCATGCGCGACTGTATGACGGGAGACACCGCGTAGTAACGCTGTTTGACAGGTTCGACAGCTGCCCTAAACCGAATCCTGTTCTCGAAGCAAACTAGGTTCTACCTAACCCTTTTGGCGTAGCCCGGGCTACTATTTACTCTAAAGCCTTAACCTCCCTATTGCCTAACTCGGAGCGGTCCACTATCACCGCCAACGTCTCGTGCTCCAGTTGAGAAAAAGACCATTTTATCCTCATCAAAAGTGGAATAAAAAACTTCTATGTCCAAATACAGACGCTTAACGAAGACCACCCGACCTGCTATCCCAGAAGTTTACCTTCTTTGTCACGACCTTTTATTCGGCCTACCTTCGACCTCGCATCCCACTTAACCTCCTCCTGGGCTATGTTGGGCACTCTGGCCCTCCTTGTTGTGTCGACTCCACTAAAGCTTCAACTTGGAACTTGTATGTAGATGTATTTGTTTGACAGCTGTCAAAATATATAAGCATGAAAGATAAAATCTGTTATTTACTTTACGGTACTTTTGCACCCACCGTAAATTTGTTTGTCCACCGCATGCAGGAAATAATTTCTCGAGTTTCTGTCATGAAAAAAATCTAAAGGCTTTAAAGGCTCAGACTAAGGGTTAAAGGACAGCTGACTCATTAGCCACAATAGCTCACAATAACAGAATAAGAGGACTAAACCACCGCTCAGACTACGTCATTCCCGAAACCAATTTTATGAAAAGAGCAGGACTTCGATACAACGGTTGTGATTTTTTCCCGTTAAAACAAAATTTATATTTTTCTGATCAAATTTAACCATTCATTTACGATTTTTGTTTTTTGATCAACCATAATCGTTATTTTTGGATTTTTACTTTTCAATCATATGTAACCATTATTTTCAGATTAAATTTTTTGGATCATAGAAAATTTAAGTCGATCATAAATGACCAACAAAAAAAAATCCAAAATGACAATTATTTTTAGTCGAAAATTAAAAAAAAAAATAACGATTTTTCAACGATCTAAAAAGAAAAGTCTTAATATTTAGCGGCTATTTTCGGTCACTGGTGGATACAGGCTCACACAGACCACTGCAGTATTTCTCCATTAGTTCCGAATCAGTAAACTTCTGGTGAATTTTTCTCCTACCTTTTATTTACACTTCTAAAATATTCCTTTAATTTACTTATCCCTTCCAATCTTCTCATTAATTGCAGGTAACCGAATTCATATCTTCCGTATTGGTCATGCATCTGGCCAACACCACCAACACTGTTACATCGAAAAAAGTATTCTGCATCGTTGGCATTGCCATACTACACATCACAGCCAGTAGTTTCGATCAATTCTTCCTGAATGTGGTACGTGGCGAGGGCTATGCTCATCAAATAGTACGTGATATCGGTTTTATGGTACCGGACATACTACAATTAATTATACCATTGTGGCTGTTCCGTAAAACGCGCAAGGAATCGTATACGACACGCCCCTTCTATCGTGATCGTAATCTACACAAAGATATTGTGGCGATGCTATTCTTCGTGTTGGCACTCTTTGTGGTTTGTACGATTTTGTGAGATAAAATTTTCCAATACCTACAGATGATGAATAGCGAAGAGGAAGCGCGTGCCACAAGGCGTATGAATTTAATGGCGCGACTCTACTTCAATTTGTAAGGTAATTTGAATAACATACATATCTATGTAATGTAAAATGTTAAACAGCAACAAAGTGGGAGCAGACATGCAGTACATTTAACGGATGTTTGAGGTTGCGCGACGGCATAGCATAACTTTGTCGCACTGAACCGCAATTGGTGTGGTGTAAGTCTAGTTTTAGCTACATAGTTTTATAATTACAAATTCTAGTACATACGCCCATACGTACTTGGATACATACATACATATGTATGTATGTATATAGTTATAGAATTATATACATATTTATATTACATAGTTCATAGTGCAACTAGTTCAAAGAACAAACTTTTTAGTTTTCCTTTCTTCCGCTATGTATAACCATGTGATAGATGTGTGTGTTTCTTTTATAAACTTAAAATTTTAATTATGATGGATTTTTTATTTCTTAAAAATGAAGTAGTGAGTGTTAGTGATGGGGAAAAGAAAATATATACGTACATACATACATACATACATACATTTGTAGAAAGAAAATAGTTTTTTATAAATTTTCGGAAAACATGCTTTAGCAGGCAAATTTGCATACACTCTGCCAAATAAGTTCTAAAGCTGGTTTACGCTTTTTTAAGGACTTTATTTTTGATGTATTTACTTACATTTCTTTAAATTTTTCATAAATTTTGTTAAGATTCAATATTGCACAATTTGTTGGCCACATATTTCCCCAACATAAAGACTTGCTTTTGAAACTATTTGACAGAGGAATGTATGTACATAAATATTTGCAAATATCATGGCAAATTATAATAAGTTTACTGAAATCTACGAAAAAATATTAGTTATATTCAAAATAGATTTTTATGGAACAAAAGTTGTAGTGAAACCAAAAAATAGTTGTAGTCAAAATAAAAGTTTGACCATATCAGCACAAATTTTTTACACCGTAGATAACATACTCGAACGTACCACATAGTATTTACATATGTATGTATATACAAATACAACTCTCCCTACCTAAAATAAAATCATTCTTCATTTTCAAACTATAAGCATCTAAAAACTTCAAAATGACTAGGTTAGGTTAGACAGTTGGCTCTGGTTTATGTGTACGCACGGTAGCCGTAAAGAACCGTTGTAATGCCTAGGAGATGACATCCCTCCCTATACTTTGGCCATCCCGATTTTCTTGCGAATGCTATCAGACCCTCTAATAATGTTTTCAGTGGTCCTCCAGAAAGTTGGGAAGTGAACGACACCCACTTACGAAGTGCTGGATTGATTCTCTATCCCACCTCATCTCCACAGCTTTTGCAAAAATCGTAAAGTGAGCTATGCACCTGGTGGACATGTGGTCAGTGTTCCGCAAGTATTCCTGTGAGTAGCGGTACGCATTTGGCTTTGAGGGCCTTAGCCTACTCCATGGTCTTCGTTCATCCACATTGCCCCTTTCAGGAATTCGCAACCTGTTGGACGTCCTCAGAGCATTTTTCACGTATGTCTACATATGTCGTTAGGTGGACTGTCTAGAATAGTCGCTAGCGTAGGCTGGGGTGCCGAGCGAAGTGCTAGCATTGTATATAGACATGCGTGATGTGTATACCCAATGTATTATCATTAAGTATTCCTTCCTTTCCAGGAAAGTTTAGAGTCGATAATAACCCACAATCATTTCGTCTTTTTGACAACTTACGACCTGCCGCCCATTGTATGATCGAATTCGAAAATAGCCTGTCTTATATTGTGTCATGAACTTAACTAGTTCAGTTTTGAAGAGATTTCCTCAGAGCGTTTTTTTCTGCCCACCTTGTCGGGTCGTTTTCAATGTAAATTGTAATATCTCACAGACCGTCAGGCTGAACTTACTTACATATGTACGACTAGGAAGAGGAGTTAGAAATTACAAATATTTATTATCTGACGAATATAAGGCAATTGAATCACGTGCAACGATTACTCTGCGACTTATGCGAGTGTTATCAAGTCGTTAGTTTTCTTCTTGAAGAGGTGTAGAGATAGATTCCAAAAAGAAACCCGTCTCTGCTTAATAATGTTGTAACAGCAAGAAAAACACCCAAAGAGTTCTCGGGGAATAAATACTGCACTGTGCCAGACAAGGATCTGGGTCGTTTCAGTTATGTAGACTCCACTGTCGTTTGAACGTCTACCTCTGTTTACTCTGGACCTTTAAGGTTATACTGTCAAAATTGTAAGTACTTTACTTTGGCTTCATTTTAACTGGTAGTATATTGGTTACTAGCCCATACATTTGTAAAGTTTATAGGAGAAATATGGCCGCTTAAACTGCAAATAGTAAACTCGATGTATATGCACCGTTTCCTTGAATCAACTTCGATATTTAGTTTTTGGTATCCAGAATTAAAGTAAAGCTGACTACGGCCATGTTATCCTCTAAAACACCTTCATATACCTGCAATGCCAAATGTCCTTTACTTTCAGAACAAGTTCTTTATTAAACAGTTATATTCTTCTTCTTATTTAGCGTTTAACCCTTAGTCAGCTGGAAAGGAAATAATGAAACTTTTCTTTTGCGAAATTCCGTCAGTAACTCGCATTTAGTCCTTACATTGAGTTTTTGGCACGCTTGCCTTCCGTTTACAGTCATGGATGCCGAGTCGAAGGATCTTTTCACCGGAGATTCAGCATCCAAACGTACAGACCTTGAAGCACATATAGTACGTTATTTCATCTTTCTTAGTATCCGTTGAAAACTCAAACAGGGCAACAGATTTTGCATAAAATAGTTTTCGCGAAATCCCCTAAAGGCTGAGAGCGCTCTGCTTTTCTATTACCTACCGAGCCGAAATTAGCACCTGTTTCAGGAGTCATTTATTCGCTGAACTCCAGGCTGACATTATTGGTTGTGTTGATGCTGGTTCCTAAGTAGACAAGGTTCACTAATTCCAACGAGTCCCAATACAAATGTCCCAGTATGCGAATACGCTTTGTTAGTTACCAGTAGGTCTTTGTCTGGTTATTCGTTCGCCGCTAGACCAAAATTTTTTCCTCGTCTTCTATGCGGGAAAATGTTGTACCTACTTTCGGCCCTGAAATGAAGTTCATCTGTCATGTATGTACGACTGAGAATGTGGCGCCTTATCTAAAAACACCTGATTTAGTCAACCACGGCTCCGATAGATCTTAATGAAAAAAAATATTATCTTCATATTTGGTTTGAAATTTGAGTCTGGATTATTCCGGCATAGTACGAAGATCCTCTCAAACTTTACCTTGGCGATAAGTATTCCGGCAATTCATTTTTTGGGAAATCTTAGGAAATCTTTCCAGATATTCGATCCCAAATGTGGAGGCGACTTATTTAGTTCAGACTCGAAGCTATAAAGAAAATTATTGGAAATATGTACTAAGTGTTTCGAGATCAATGAATAAGGATGAAGGAAATGGTCCTATGCATCCCCTAACAGCTTCAAAACAGGCGTTAGGCGCAGTATCTACCGCATGTCCAAAACTTGAATAACTTTATTATCTTTAAAAGATCTAGCCGATGTTAGCTGCCGTCAACAAAGATTTGTAAACGATTTACCGAACTATTTGCAAAAACTGCAGTAATAATTACAATTTTTTAATCACTAGGGTGTAACAACATACATATGTACTTACATACCTATAAAACAATGGCCAAACAGTATTGAAAAAACTCAGAAAAAAAAACAAATTAATAATCTGCGCATGCGTACAATTTAAATACCTTTAAGATGAAACAGTATGCTATAAACAAAAAAATATATTTAAAAAAAAAAACACAAACCATATCTTTATATAAGAAATCTACAATAAATAAAGTGTAAACCAAAACGGCAAACAATTAGGCATTAGAGAACTAAAACTAAAAACCAAAATGAATTCAATATTAAGCTGACCAAAATTTAAGAATTGAGCACATATCGACAGCTACATACATACATATAAAGGAATATCTACATGCATATAAAAAGATAAATAGGTACTTAGTTAATTTATACTAAATTCAAAAAGAAATATTGGGAATAGCTTCAAAAAAAAACTGTGGTATTCATGAAAATAACTGCATACATTAATACATACATATTTTTAGAATACTCAGCAGAGAAAGGCTGATCAAATACCAGATTCTTTTTTCCTTTAAATAAACTAAAATAAAAAAAAATATGGAAGCAAAGGAAGCCGTTGAAGGCATCACTCCATTAGCATCTCTAGACTCGGTAGTAGATGAAAATTCAAAAAGTTTATTTTTTGGCCGCATATAATCTTTAAACCTCCCAGTTGCCTTCAACTCCTGAATCAATTCGAGATCTTTGTCGGAAGCACTCGTAGAATTGTTAATTGCTTTCAATATTAGCGATCGACGTTATTGGATTATTTCACAAACCAACAGCATTAGTTAGGCAAAGTCCATTCATTCCAAAATTTGCATCTTAGGGCATAAAACGCCAGGGGAATAAGTTCAGCTTTTACAAAATGAGAGTTATGCCAATAGTAAATAAAAATAATGATAATGGTTTATTCAACAAATTATATCATTAGCCGTTCGAGAAGTTCAGACACGTGTTAATGAGGCGAAAGAAATAATGCGCCATGAGCACAAGTTGCCGAAACACTTCACAGTGCATAATTTTGGGCTCATTATGTTAATAAAATAATAAGCTCAGTGGAAATAGCTTTCAAAGGAAAATCAATTTATTTTGGAACACCCTATAAAACACGTACATATGTATGTTCAAGTACATAAAAGTCCATAGTACTTCCCAGATACTTCCGTTAGCATTGCATTCGATTTCTTTCTCAATTTCTTTTGACTTTCGGCTATTGATTTTTTTAATCAAAATTATTTAGATTAGAAGTAGACTGATTGTGGGTAACCTATTATCAACCCGAATATACTCCTGAACCTTATAGACTTTAGCGTTGCATAGATGTACATACATTATGGTGAAAGGTCAAGTGCTAGATATGTATGTATTTTATATAAACTTAGGTGTATGTGTGCTATAAAATACAAAACGTACTATAATGAATTTGTTATTGAATATTTCGAATTGAAAAAAATATAAAATAAAATCGATTACTGCGATTTTAAATGAAAACAACTTCTTTAATAAAAGCAGTTGAAAGAACACAAAAAAATTTAAATTCGGAAAATTCCGATGCAGAAAAGGTTCTTTTAAACAAACAAATTTTTTTTTTATAACAGTTGTTGCTATTAGAGAGTAGATTTTACTAATTTAACTATTTTTTACAATTTTTTATACAAACATAAATATGATAAAATCTAACACTTACCCACATACAAAAATATACCTAGCCCTGAAACTAGTTCAAGGAAATTAATACATATTGATAGCATTGATAGACACACGCATATATGTAGCTAAAATGCAAAAAATCTCGAGCAGATAAGAGTTATTTAACACTTATGCTGTATTTCCACTGGGCATTAGTTGAATGACAAAAATATACGGTTCTTTACTTTAATGATGGCACACATTTTTCGACATTTCAGTGCCTAGTGGAAATGTGGCATCTAAATATTATACTTAATTATGTATTTATAAAATGTAGAAATTATAGATAACCGAGACAAGGAAATCGAAAATATGTAGTGTGCATTAAAAAATATATATATTTTATGTAAAATATTGTTACATATGTATACAAACATATACATACATACATATATTAATTAGCACAATAATTGACTATAAATAATAATATGGAAATATATGCGTTGGTTATTTTAGAAATAACTGCAAAGGAAAAAATTACAAAATGTTTAAACAAAATTTGTGTTTTACTTACTTATTTTGTAGAGAACATTCCAGTCCCTCCTACATACATATGTTTCATAAATTTTTTTGAGTAGTAAGTATAAAGCTAAATGAAGAACTAGAGCTTCAATATATAGCAAATAGCAAAAGATAGACTTTTTTCCTTGAAATAATTAGCAGAAGATTGAGTTATTAATAATGGTAAGTAACTTAACATAGAACATAATAAAACTGTTGCAATGAAATGTGAAATCAATACCAAGTTGGCATACTGGCATTACATAATGCAGCCCGTTTCTAATACCGGATTTCCATTAGGTATTAAAATGGAAAAAAAATTTGTGCCATTTAAAAAATGCCATGCGAAAACGAACTTAATGACTGTTTTTACATTATTCCGACATCTTATTCTGCATCTTAAAGCTCCTACATATATAGGAGCTAAAGAAAGTTCGAACTCCCTACAGCCTAATTTATCCATCCATCCTATTGGGCCCTCTCTCCTATAGAACACTTATTCTAAGCCTAGATCCTTCAGAAAGTTCAACAGCGTATTCGGAGATAGCGAGTGGGTGTGCTTAAGCTGTGGCCACATCGAGCCTAGATTTCTCTCACGTCTTCTTCAGTCTGCATGACACTCGGTGAGAATGTTTAGT